GCACTTATATCTCTCTCCTCTCTCTCTCTCTCTCTCTCTCTCTCTCTCTCTTCCTCGTCCACAACTATATTTCTGCGGGGTTTTTTCTTGTTATAGTTAGTAGGCACAGATTTCTAGTTAACAAGTATGGGTGATACTTAACAGAAACAATTTATGGTTAACATATATCTTGTTATACCCTTAATAAATACTAAATATTAATCTCCACAGAGCAATCGCCACGTGTCTTAATACATCTAATTTAAGACGAATATAGCCTCCACCCGACTCTGCCCATTATTCAGCCAACATCTCGCGTAATTGAGACAAAAGACGGTACTATTCGGCCAACCCTTCAATCGACTCCACAAGCCACCCGACTCGACCCACTGTTCTGCCGACATCTCGCGTATCCATATCAAAATACGGTACTTATAGTCCAAACTAGCTAGTCGCTCCTGCGAATAACCCCCACTTGGCCCGTGGTATTAGCCGTCAACAGGTATAGTCAACCACCAGCTGTAAAACAAAAAAAATCGGTAGTTTTCTTGAACCCGGAGCCGACAACTACCGTTGTCCTTGCATTAACTACTCTGACAAAGTCATCATTTCTTTAGCTCCTATAGCCTTTATGACTCATTGGACCCAGTCAGCACCGGTCACCTGCTATCATTCCCATAATAAATGACTAGGTGACTCACATCTCTCAACAATCGACATGTAGCACATGTCTACCGACTTAGCTGCCTAGCTGAACTCGGCCCAAGTTACCTTCTTGCCCCTCAATATCCAATTAGTAAACTTACCTGGTTGATGTTAATCTTACCTGGTTGATGTTAACTTTACCAATTGACTATTAAGTTTACCGGTGTATACCATAACTTTAAAGAGTTATTTCAATAGAATTGAAACTTGATAGTTAATTAATAGATAAACTTAAAAGCCAATGAATAAACTTAATGAGAAAACTTAACAACCAATGGTTAAACTTAACAACCAATGGGTAAACTTAACATCAAATGGGTAAACTTAATATCCAATTAGTAAACTTAACAGTTAATGAGTAAATCAAAATTAACAACATTATATATACTTAACGGTTATGCTATAAACTTAACATATAATGAGTAAAGCTAATATCAGCCAGGTAAAATTCACACCTAAACTTTCATAGTTTACAATAAAGCCATATAACTATAAGTTTTGTGTTAGGAGTGAGTAGGAGGGTTAGAGTTAGGGTTAGGAGAGAGTACGAGGATTTTAAAAATATAGATAACAAGAATACCCAAACATTAAGAACATACAATGTTAAGATTTGGAGGAAGAAGTTGTACAAAGTATATTTGGGAGCTGATGGAGTTTCGTGAGATTTGGGAGAATGAATGTCAATGTATATTTGGGATGTTGAAGAAATATAGTATACAAAGGGTGGTATAGTGTTGATATAGAAGAGCTGGATCCCATTGAGCTTGAGTTTTTAGGGCTTTTGCACATGGACAATAATATGAGGGGTTGGGACACATTAACTTTTGATTTTTAGGTCTTAACACGATTTTTCATTTATTATTATTATTATTATTATTATTATTATTATTATTATTTGTATTAAATCATAAATTGGACCTTTTAATTTAAAAAAACAATGATTTTTTTTTTTGTTAGCCAAAATTTAAAAGAGTACAGATTTGAGAGTGAGAAGGCATCAACTCCTTCAACTAAATACTGAGCCCACATCATTAATATGTGAGATTTTATATTACAAATTCAAAAAGAGATCATAAAGGAGATCACACGACCGTAAATAAGGTGATCCAGTGAAGCACTAGGCATTTATATTATTGTTTGATGTAACAATTATTTCATTTGTCAACACGCATGAGTTGTTGATGTGCTTTTGAAATCTTAAGATAAGTTATGCTTTATGGACATCATTCATTAAGTCTAGGTATTGACTAGGGCATGTATAGGTCTAGATACAGATAATTAATCTATATGCATATCTTTCATGCCGTACATGTTAGCTAAAATTATTAGAGAAAACTTGCCTAGTATGTCAACTGCATGAATAAGAACATTTTTTTTTATAAAAGCTCGAAGCTAGGTTCATAGTACCACCGTGTATCATCCAAACATAAAGACAGGCTTTAGTAAAGGATGCTCGTGCTGGTTCAACATAATTTCCTGTGAAATTCTCTTTTCATTTGATTTCATATGTAGGGTCAAAAATAGACAGAAAATGAGGATCAAGGTGTTGTGCGCCTATGCGGAAGCATGCTCGCACACGGAACGAGTCCGTGAGCCACGGGGGAAGAGAACCAATCCACACAAGAACACAATCCAATTCAAAATACGACAAATCAAACCAAACACAGAGATATACGTGGTTCGACAATTTGCCTACGTCCACGGGGAGAGGATGGGGAGATTCTGCTAAATTAAAGAGAGTATAAAGGGTTACAATCTCACAAAATCACTCAAATAAACCCTAAACCAAATCTCTTAACTTACTCACAAATTATCCCTCTCAATATGCTCAGTATAATCTAAAATCTCTGATAGAAACCCTAGAAAAAACGTGTTTTGATTATATATCAAAACACAATCCCAAAGCGAACAGGAAACCAAAGCCCAAGGTCCAGCAGACGCGCGGTCGACTGCGGCGGTCGACCGCGACACGCGGTCGACTGCGGCGGTCGACCGAAACCAAACGACAGAACCAAAAATCCACTACAGGGTTTGGCGGTCGACCGCGACCGCGCCAAGCTCCGAAACACACCAAGATTTCGTGCACGTTTCCGGTCGACCACGCCTGCCTCACGGCCGACCGCTGGGTGATCAAACTGTTTTCTGCTGTAATACCTGTAATCTCTTCACAAGGTAGTCCAAGTAACAATAAAACTAAGGGGTTTTTGCTTTTAGACCCATTTGTTTACTCTCACTAGTATAATGCACGTGCTTTGCACGTGGATATTTTGTTGTATTTAATATTATATTATTTAATAAATTATATATAACCATTAAAAATTATTTTATTGCACTATGATTAAATTTTTTTAACTTATACAAATATTAGTACTTATAATATTATTAACATATATTTAATAGTTATTTAATTTTTTTATTATACTATTAAACAATTATTTAGGAGTATAATTATTAAATAATAATGTAATCATTAGTTTAAGTAACACTATTGATATAATTAAACCATTTAAATTATTAAATATTTATGTCATGTATATATTTTATTACAATATCTATTAAATAATGGAAATAATTTTTAATATTATATGACATTATATTATAAAGAATATTACATTGTTTAATAATTAATATCATTTTAGTAATAAAAAATTGGATGATATAAATTAAAAATACTATTATTCAGAAAAAATAATTTATATAAAAATATTGGATCCTTGAAATATATGAGACATTTACTTTCCAACAAAAAGTGCATGACTCATAAATTGCTAAGATCCAATATTTTATTGCACTATGTTCATAATGTCCAATTTTTATATCTAAGACGATATTATAATATCGTAAAGGGTAATAATCGTTATAATATAAAAAATCATAGTTATAATTATGTGCAATAATTTATTAAATGAATGGCTTTTACTATTTTATATAATTAATAATTATATATAATAAATTATTATATATTCATGAATTTTGTTATCATTATAAATTATTAATATATTCTAGTGAATAACCAAATAATTTGAGAAAACGAAAAGGTGCATAGTTAATGAGAGGTTATGGATCATTAGTTTTATAATTAATAGTATAATTTTGAGTTATAAAAAATTGAGGGGGTAAAAATGGAAATCAAAAGTTTTAACAGGGGTATTCTCTTTTATAAGTAGTATAGATTTATCTTTAAACTCAAGTACTATTATTTGTATCTTTAAGCCCAATTCACCTTTTGTATTTATCTTTAAACCCAATCTTCAAAATACTATATTTTCACCACTTGTTTTTATATTTTGGAGATTGAGTTTAAAGATAAATACAAAAGGTGAATTGAGCTTAAAGATAGAAATAATAGTACTTTGGTTTAAAGATAAATGGGAGTAAACAAATGGGTGTGAAAGCAAAAACCCATAAAACTAAACCACCTAGACAGAATAATGGAAACTGGTTTGCTAATAAAATTTCAAGCCCAAGGTCATCACACTATATGAGAATTTGTCTATTTAGCTTCACAAAATGACAAGGGTATACTCATATAGCATGTAAAAATGGCGGTTGACGCCGTTGTGTTTCCGGATAAAATCTTAAAGTTATAAACCCAAGCTAAGGGGCGCCTTCTGATAATCTGAACTGGGCCTTAATCTTTATCAGTTTAAGAGATAAATTAAGTAGATCTTAATTTTTTTAATAATAGAATGTTTGGCAAATATGTGACTTGTCGGTCGTCGTTGTTGTCAAAATGATCAAAAAAGCATTTAATGAGGCTAGAAACAAATAAATGGATATTGAAAAGTTTTAAAATGTTGCTAGGAGTATTAGATTTTTACTCGATCAGCCCTTGTAGATTATAATCCACCAGAAATAAAGCTAGGATATCCTAGCTTATTTTTTAATGACTCATAAGCTACCGGGATTGATTGAGTAATAGTTCAATACACCCATCATCATTTTGAAAAATTCCAAGCCTCGTTTATCTCTCGTCAGCCCCATTATATATTTTTTGATCGTTCATGTGATAATGATGGCTTATAAGCCACCCATTTGCTAACATTCAAATCTACTAACTTTACCAAGCACTTTGACTTATACAGTTATACCCGCTTGTAAGCCAAATGGATTATAATGCAAAGCCGCCAAACATGCTTTGGTGTACCCTAATTTATTTTTTAATGGCTTATCAATCAAAATAAGCTATTTGCGAAACACCTCAAAGTGGCTTATTAATCAGAAGAGTGAATTATAAACCACTTTGACAACTTGCCAAAAAAAAAACCTCTAAATATAATCAGTACATGCTACCCATGAAGAAAACAATTTCCTCGTACGAGATCAACAAGGCATCACTTCTATATTTCTGTTTTGATAGAAATCAAAATGCCAAAAGTCGCTCTAACATCAAAAAAGAGGAGAAGCAAGCAAAGCAGTCCTCTTCAGTTTTCACTTCAGTTTCCAATCAAACCAGTAACGCCCCCTACAACCCACACACCAAAGAATCGTGACTTAAATAAATCTACAACAACTTGTACAATACCAATTCACGCTACATTGGTTTCACAACTACAATTGCAGGGCTCGGAGCTGAGGAAGCAAGTTCTCAGGGTTCGCCGTTCGCGTCCGCTCGTCGCGGAGGAGAAGGATGCTTATCGTGCCCGATTCCCTCAACCAAGAGGCGATGACTGCGCTTGGAGAAACAAAGCGCCCGATATTGAACCTTTCTAATTGGAAGGGAGCTCCGATGGACTTGAGAAGAGACTCGATGACTCGGCGCAGTGTGCTGGCACCCACTACTTTGCTGTGTTTCCCCCATCCCGTCAAAATGCTGCAGAGGAAAAATAAACCAGACTTAGACCAAAAGCAAAATGCTCGGCTTTTTTGATCCTTCCCCAGATCGATATGCATTCTGCTTGATCAATATATAGATCCATAATCTACAGAATAGTGATTTACATTTGGTGTGGAACATCTGAGAAACACTGCTCTCAAAAAAACAAAGTTTGGACAAGCAACCCAACCAAGTTTCTTCAGGTTAATGAGCAATGCACAACATTAGAACTCAATGTGCTTAAAATGTTAACAGAATAATTTTAGGTACATCATCACTCATTATGTTAGTAGAGTTTAGCATTCAGTAAGTTAGGGGAGGTAGCTTACTTCACCTTTATATTGACCAGGAAAATATTTATTGTGACAAGAGCACACTGGTAACGACATTCAAAACTGTGGTGTTCCAAGCCAAAGAGAAACATCAACTATTGCCAACCTAAAATGCACTAGGGCTCGTGAATCGTTTGTTGACTAATTTCGTGCTGAAATATAAGTCATCAAGTATGGGTACTGGTCCGTTAAAAGTGGACATGTATGATTATGATGGAGCAAACTGAAGGTCAAGAATTTGGAGTTTGAAGGAAAAAAGAAGCCCAAGATTATACACGACTAGTTCCTATTGAGCATTTGAAGGGGGAATTAATGCACAAGGTGCAGGACTAAACGACCAGGGAGAACAAACATAAAGGACTCCTACCTCAAAAACTCAGGAAGCTCCCTTCCTTCGAAAACAATAGAGCGAACACTAAGAAGCCAAGCATGAACCATAGCTTGAGCAGCACCCGATGACATGAGGTGCAAATCCAAGCAGAAGTCGCTCCAAGCATTCTCCCAAACTTGACGGTGTACCCCTTCAAGCACCACCTGCTGAGCTCCCCGTTTCTGCAATAAGAAAATACACAGAGACACCTTCAACTCAAAGATATATTTCACGTGTCTCAAACTATTCACATACATGGAAATTTAGCTAAACACATTACCATCTGTCTTCATTTTATTAAATCAAGCCAATGAAATAGAAAGCAAAGTTGAACATAATTACAAACGGTCAAAGAAATATTTAAATTACAGGTCTGGTTGGCTTAATGAATCCATGGTCCCCATAAATTATAACTCAATTATCTTAGCGAGGAATAAATATTCTATATTAGTAAAGTCGTCGTCATCTTTTTGATACAGACACGTTAAAAGAACACAATGCCTATGGATGAATATACTAAATTTTTTTAAATAAAGGAACTGGTTCCTGTACCTTTCAATGTAACCAAACAAATCTATTGACCACGCACTTAGCTAGAATGAAGCGGCAATGATATTTATGATTGTGCGAGAAAATTGAGTAAATAGTAAAAAAGGGAGGGATTTAAAATCTTACTTGTCCAAAATGCCAAAGCATGTCTGTGAGAGCATTGTAGAAAGCAGAGGAGGTGGGAAGGTCCATGTGCCTTAACTCGTCAAACAGGGAACGAGCTTGCACCCACACATCCCTGCTACCGATCAAAAGCCCATGTGCTATGCCGTAGGCAAAGCTATCAAACAAACGAAGTTGATCCAACAATATAGATGCATCTTTGAATGAGTTGCAACGACTGCAATTTCAAGAAGCAAATGTGTCAGAGACACTGTTATAATAATCTCAAATATAAAACAGAACACAGTCAATACTTTGCATAAACTATTTTTACATTGCTCATAACAACCATCCTCAAGCGTGCCTCACTATATGGAATTTCAGTGACATACATTACCATAGCAATGAAATCTCAAATTATGTAACACACATGGAGGACAATAACCTAAACATGACATACCAAAGGGTCCACAGTGCTTCAAGGGGGCAAAAAAAAGTAAAAGTAAATAAATAAGAAAACAAGGTGTCAAATGCAAACTCCAGGAAAATCAAGGACAGAATGGCAAATCGAGTCTTTTTTTTTTATTTTCCACACAGCTACGATAATCAGGTGTAGTATCATGTCAACGAATAAATGTGATCATCTTATAGTCTTTTATTCAATTTCACTATTGGGTTAAATCAGTGCATCGATTGATATACTGTATAAACATGAAAAGGAATAATGTCCTTTTGAGTGAAAACGAGGAATAACGTATTGACATAGGTCATTTAGTTCTCTAGAGAACACTGGTTTCAAATGTGAAGCAAATTGCGGTTGATTAATTGCCAATTGCGTGTCATGTTTTGTATTGAGCATTTTTTAGATCCCCCTAAAATACAGTAATATGCTCTTACATCCGAACTTTGACAATAAGTCGATTAGCCTACAATCAAAACAATTCACAAGTAAGGAATACTAGAGGTTAAGACAGCACTCCACCTGCAAGCATTCAGTATGGCAGAAAATGTAACAACATTAGGCTTCACTCCCCGCTGCACCATCCTCTGAAACAATCCCAAAATGTAGAACAATTCCTCTGACCTCCTCGCCTCCTCCACCTTCGGTTGTCCAATTCCCTTCACAATTGGACCAAAAACAGCCGCACCATCCTCGTCCATAAAATCCCTAGATTTACCAAAACCGTCGATGACAGTATTATAAGTGACCACATTAGGCTCAATCCCAACCCTCACCATCTCATCAAGCAACCACACTGCGCATTCCACCAACCCATTCTTGGCCAATGTATCTATAAAAGAACTGTACAAGACCACATCTGCCTTCAAACCGGATTCCTTGAAATCTAAGAAAACATTCGCTGCGTCTCCATACAATCCCGCCTTTGAATAAATATCTATTAGAGTCGAGTAAGTTAATACACTCAGAGAAACACCCTTTTCCCTCATATCTCGAACTAAGAAGCTAACTATATCAAGCCTCCCTTGCTTTCCATACCCTTTGATCAGCGAATTGTATGTCACCGTATCCTTATCAACCCCCATAGCCTCCATCTCTTCACAAACCCTCGCAGTCTCCTCAAACTTCCCAATCTTCACATAAATCGACAACAAGGTATTATAACAAACCCGGTCCAACTTAATCCCTAACACCCTCATCTCCCTATACAAATCCAAAGCCTCATCGAACCTCTCCAACTTCGAGTACCCATCAATCAAAGTGCTGAAAGTAACCACGTTCGGCCTCAGATCATTGGCAGGCATCTCCGTCATAATCTTAACAGCGAGCTCCATGTTCCCGCACTTTGACACCGCATCGATAAACGTGTTGTAAGTATAGATATCCCTCCCAATCCCCAACCTCATCATTTCCTCGAACAAAACCCGCGCGTAATCAACCTCCCCCGCGCGGCTACACCCCGCCAACAAGGAGTTGAACGTCTTCGAATCGGGCCGGACCTTCCCCTCGACCATCTCCCTGAAGAACCCAACCGCACCCCTCACGTCCCCGCTCCCCTTCACGCAGGCATCGATGACGGCGTTGTAGGATACCACATTGGGCTTCAGCCCCTTCCTCCTCATGAGCTCGAAGACCGACACCGCGTCGGCGGACCGCCCGTTGCGGGCGAAGGCGGAGATGATGGCGGTGTGGGCGAAGACGGTGTCGCCGACGGCCGTCCTCACGGCGCCGCGAAAGATCTGTGCCGGCAGCGATCGGGCGGCGCCGAGCTCTGCCTCAGGGATGGAGATGGTCGGAGGTCAAGAGGGCTTGCCCCTTCTCCTTGGGGTCCCGCATGAAGAGGAGGAGATTTGAAGAAGGAAGGGCTTTTGTGGCCGAGCGGGCTGGCGAGTCGGGGAGGGAGTGGAGGATGACAGCAGTAGTCGTCGGGGCGGAGAGGTGCGGGGGAGGTGGGCAGGCGGTGGGTGGGGGAGGAGGAGAGGAAGGTGGGAGAGGAGGAGGGAGGCGGAGGGGAGGCGGTAGGGCGGCGGGGGGTGGGGTGGGGGCGGGGTTCCGCTTGAATGATGGATTTGTGGAGCGGGAGGCCGGAAGTCGGAGAGAGGGCGAGGCGCGGAGGAGGGAGGAGGGTATTTTGGGCATTCCGGTTTTTGAGGAGGAGGAGAGGGGCTGGAGCCTGGGGTCTTGTGGGAGCGGGGGTGGGGGTTTTGGGCGTAGGTGGGTTTGGGAGGGGTTTTAGGTAGCGAGGGGGGGTTGAGGAGGCCATCGAGCCCTCCTCAAGGATCAGGGGGCGAGCCGTTTCTGACCGGGGTTTTGGGGATGAAAGGGGGTGGGTTTTGGAGAGGGCGAGGAGGATTCATTATTTTTTAGAGAAGACGGAGCGAGAGGATAAGGCGAGAGAGGTGGGAAGAGAAAGGGCGATTGATTAATTATTGAGGCACAAAAGCTCCAGATTACTTAAATCTAGGATTGCGGATTCGATAGTTCGCATAAAACCCCCTTGGAAATATATTTGCGTAAAGGGGCTTTTGAGCTCAACAAGACAGCAGCTGATACTGGTTCTGATTCGATTAGGATTTTCTACTTAGGGGCTGTTTGGATCGGGTATTTTGAAGGGAATGAGGGGGAAAGCTGCCAATTAGCAACTTTTTATTTTCCCCCTCCTTTCCCCTTGTAGTTTCTCCCTCTTTCCCCTTTAAAATATACGATCCAAACGAGTCCTTATTATCAGACTGAATTTTAAAATATCAAATATATATATATATTATATATATGTATATATATATATATATATATATATATATAATATCATAATATCTATCTATATATATATATATATAGGTGTCGCCGACGGCCGTCCTCACGGCGCCGCGAAAGATCTGTGCGGCAGGTCGGGCGGCCGAGCTTGCCTCAGGGATGAGATGGTGGAGGTCAAGAGGGCTTGCCCCTTCTCCTTGGGGTCCCGCATGAAGAGGAGGAGATTTGAGAAGGAAGGGCTTTTGTGGCGAGGCGGGCTGCGCCGAGTCGGGGAGGGCGTGAGGATGACAGCAGTATCGTCGGGACGCGGAGTAGGTGCGGGGGAGGTGGGCAGGCGGTGGGTGGGGGAGGAGGAGAGGAAGGTGGGAGAGGGAGGAAAGGGAGAGCGGAGGGGGAGGCGGGTTAGGGCGGCGGGTGGGGTGCGGGTTCCGCTTGAAGATGGATTTGGTGGAGGCGGGACGGGCCGGAAGTCGGAGGAGAGGGCGAGGCGCGGAGGAGGGAGGAGGGTATTTGGGGCATTCCGGTTTTGAGGAGGAGGAGAGGGGCGGAGCCTGGGGGTCTTGTGGGAGCGGGGGTGGGGGTTTTGGGCGTAGGTGGGTTTGGGAGGGGATTGTTAGTAGCGAGGGGGGGTTGAGGAGGCCAATCGAGCCGCTCTCAAGGATCAGGGGGTCGAGCCGTTTCTGACCGGGGTTTTGGGGAGATAAGGGGGTGGGGTTTTTGGAGAAGGGCGGAGGAGGATTCATTATTTTTTAGAGAAGACGGAGGCGAGAGGATAAGGTGAGAGAGGTGGGAATGAGACAAGGTGCGATTGGATTAATTATTTGAGGCACAAAAGGCTCCAAGATATACTTAAATCTAGGATTGCGGATTCGATAGTTCGCATAAAACCGCCGCCTTGAAATATATTGCGGTAAAGGGGCGCTTTTTGAGGCTCAACAAGACAGCAGCTGATATGGTTCGTGATTCGATAGGATTTTCTACTTAGGGGCTTGTTTGATCGGGTATTTTGAAGGGGAGTGAGGGGGAAAGCTGCCAATTAGCAACTTTTTATTTTCCCCCTCCTTTCCCCTTGGTAGTTTCTCCCTCTTTCCCCTTTAAAATATACGATAGCCAAACGAGTCCTTATTATCAGACGTGAATTTTTAAAATATCAAATATATATATATATTATATATATGTATATATATATATATATATATATATATATCTATCTATATCTATCTATATATATATATATATATATATATTAGGTAATCGAGTTAAGCCATGCATTAATAGAATGGTTAACTCATTATCTCAAATAGGAGAGGTGACATATTCACTTATCTCTATTAGTCCCAATATTTGGTCCCGCTCTAGCAAGCCTTCATACCAAATATTCATATCCAATTTAATGGCAGGAATCTACTTGAGTATCAAGTTAGATTCACGAACCTCTCACCATAATAATCAAGCATGGAAATTTGAAAAAAAATTATTTAAATGCATAAGGTGACTAACGATTTGATCTCATAAGAAACGCTTCCCAGCGAGGGGAATCGCGGTTTCCATAGCTGGCTCTATTAGTCATACTGTAAGATTATATTAGTCCCAAAATCAACACTAAAGCTAACATTATCTAGGCCTTGCCTACGTGGAACCTCTCAGGGGCGGCCACTCGCCACATCAGAACAACGGACCCGAGGCGGTGACAGCGTCGGCGGCCGCCTTGGCCTCCCTTTCCCTCTTGACCCCCTCTCCTCTTCTTCCTCTGGACGCAGACGGAGCTCGCCGCCGCCGGCGGCGAGATGCGGAGCGGCCGAGATCCTTCCTTCTCACCGGCGCAGGCGCCGCCACGGAGGACCCGAACGCGCCAGGATCGATCCGATGGGGCACTCGTCCCATTCCATGGAACTGATGTCGCCCTTCACCACCTCGAGATCCAGCGGAGCGCAGGGGTACACAGCGGCGCGGTCGCCTAGAGTCGATCGCCTAGGGTTCATCATCACGAGATCGTTCAGACCGCTCACCGCTTCTCCCTGATTCCCAAAAAAGGAAAAAAAAAAGCTAGGGTTTGAGATTTCGACTAGAGGAAAAGGATCGGGGATTCGATAGGTTTGGATCTGACCTTTGTCTTTAGCCTGCACCACGCGTGGATCGAGAGGATCTGATGTGTAAAAAGTGGAATTGATCGTTAGAATCCGTAAAAATTTCGACCAAAAGTAATCCCTTAGTTCTCTCGAGGCGATCCAGATCAGATCCGAGAGAGAGAGAGAGAGAGAGAGAGAGAGAGAGAGAGAGAGAGGAGATCGAGGCGATCCAGATCAGATCCGAGAGAGAGAGAGAGAGAGAGAGAGAGAGAGAGAGAGAGAGAGCAGCTGACCTTGTTGAGTTGATCCATGGTGAGAGATCGGGGATCGGGATTCTCGAAGAAGCTGAGATAATCTTCGAACATCAGCTGCTTGCTCCTCGCTCGATTCATCTCTCTCCCTCTCTCTATTTTTTTTTCTCCCCTTTTTCCTTTTTCGTATTTTTTTTTTTGCCTCCGATTTGTCTGTATTTAAAAGGAGATGGGTGGGGAAAAGGCGGGAAGGGGAAATTCTCGAGTATACCGCCGAATGTGCCCTTGATCTTTTAACAATTTACGGGAATGCCCTTCGAATTACAGGGTTAGACACTCACCCTAAGAAGAAATTTTCCAAATAAACTCATTCATTTTTTTTTCTAAAAATAGACCCCATTGAGTTTTATTTACAAAAATAGACTCATTTTATCTTAATCTTGTTCCTAAATAGTCGGGGTTGCCAACCCCCGACTATTTAGGAGATTTTAAACCCCTAATTGTAACCCTAAACCCTAACATTCTATACACTAAATAGCCAGGGATTGACAACCCCAACTATTTAGAAACCGGATTAAGACAAAATGGGTCGATTTTTGTAAAAAAAAAACTCAAGGGGTCTATTTTTAGGAAAAAAAAATTATGAATGGATTTGTTTAGAAAATTTCTTACTTACCATAATGGCATTTGTTAAGAGTTAATAAAAATAAAATAGGCGCAAGATGTTAGAAGTATATATAAATAATTTAGACAGGCAGCTCTTCATGTAATTTTAGCTAGTAGATATCCGTTTCAACAATGAGAACCTTAAATCCAATTTCGAATTCTACGAAGCAAGATTTTACATTAATAAATACTCATTTATATCGGAAAGTTAAGTAATAATACACGTACATCATCCCATGACAATAATACACGGTACCAAAAAAGACTGAACCTCAATAGACTGCTTTTGGGGAATCTCTTTTCTTCAGGCAGCATATTGCCTGTATTAAGTTACCACCATGTCGTCAAGCTCCGATAAATCCTAAACCTTCTCCCGATAGCGAAATCTGAAGAAGTACTAATGAAATCACTTCATTCGCATCTTTGAGCTCTGGTGATCTCCCAGTTTGGATCATTTGCCTCGTTCGATGCAGCATTGCTTCTAATCTTATGTGGATTACTATTTACGATAGCAGCCAAGAACCTTTCATTCTCGAGGGTGAAGAGGTACATCGCTTGTTCGTCCTATTGTTCGAGAATGAAACAGGGGATAACAATTAGCCAGCAAGAACTTAAAGTATATACCCCTAGTGCAAATATATCAGGCTGACTTTAGCCATAACTGGGGAAATAAAATGTTTCTGCTGTGATGGTCATAAAAGTATTTTCCATTGGAGGATGTATCCTCCTTCCTTTCTTTACAGGAATTGGTAAATTTCCCAAAACTACCATGAACCTTGGAGTTTTTGCACAAAACTACTGCGAACCTTTGCACTTTCATCTGCAAAGCTTCATAAGGGTAATATATAAAATATAAAGCATACATAAGGGTTTAATATTGTCCGCGGCCCACACATGAGAAGTTATCCTAACTGCCACCGGGCATGGTAGTTAGTGAATAAAGTTCACGGCGCTCTCTCTAATAAAAACAAGTTTATTGCAGTTTTGTGCAAATATCCACAGTAAAGGCCAGTTTTGTGAAATTTACCACATATGGTACGTGAACTTCTTATAACCATTTCAACTTCTTGAATTTAGTTTCTTGAATAGAAGTTGTAAAGGAGAGTTCTTACCTCAGGCAACTCACTGAATTCATCTGGAGATATCTGCAACAGCTCTGCAGCAGTTTGGCCCGTACACCAAGCAAAAACCTTTGCACTTTCATCTGCAAGTGTAACTCTCAAGTAGAAACGGCGCACAAGTTGACCATCGCAGCTAGAATTGCAGAAACTGCATTGAACTAATCCTTCAGATCTCTCATTTACATGACGGCCACAAAGAGCATGAGACAGCATCGAGTGCACATGAGGAAGTTCAATGTGGTCAATGTGAACGATACATACCTGTCAAACACATTAAGATACAATTCATTGATCACACATATAAGAGCATGCTTATGACACCATAGTAAAACGAAACTAGTAGTGATAGCAGTGGTCATACACCCTTATAGGCTTTACTTCTACATCAAAGCAAACAAATTCTCATATAGCTCTAATCTTTAAGCCTTTGTTTAAACTTCCAGGTTAAACCTCTGTCGATATGTGTCACATAATAACCTAATAGAAAATATGACTATCCTGCATAATCAGCTTATAATCTACTCAACATGCAAATGAATATGCTGAGACATAGAAAGTAGTGTATCAAGGGATCAGGTGGGGAGTAATTGTAAATAACTGGACACATCCTGAAGGGTATGTTTCTGATACAAAGGTGGAGATCCTCAAAATAAAACCCTTGCGGTTTTATTTCTCATGGTACGAGTCAGATAGAAGAACAAAGTATCATATGCAGTAAAATTACTAGTATGCTAAAAAAAAGTACATATTAAGGTATCATAATATGCCAATAAAACTGTGACTAGTGATGCCACAGGTAACCCTGTAATCATTAAAGCGCAAGACACAAAGATAGCATACATTAGTGTTCATGTGGCTGGAGATATTGGATAAAGGAGATAGTTGATGGAGGCATGACGAGTTAAGCAATGCTGGCAAGCTGCTTAGGTCAACCAAAGATGATCCAGAATCCTTTTCAAACCATGATGCTTGAAGCCTGTCACAGAGAATAATCCAACCTATTGGTAAATAAGATTGAAGTTAAGTTCACAATAAATAGTACTTTGATGATCTGCATCCAATGAAATGTTCTTTAAAAACTTTTGATTTAAGCATATAGATGTTTCATTGAACCTTAATAGAAAGGTTGCTAAATAGTTCTAATATGTACTCATTCTAATGATGGAAACAATAAAGGGATAGTTTTTGTTTACAGCTTCTTCTTAGTAAGAGAGCAAGTCAAGCCTGATATGAATATTGTATGACCAAACCCCAATCTTCCTAAAGACCTGCAAAAGGTATCATCAGATTATATGGCATCCCAAAATTTGAAAATAATAATCAAATCAACAGCATTAAGATACAAATGAGATCTCAAGGAATGAGTTTCTTGAATAGCATAAACAGAATTCCTACATCCAAAATGCATTTCCATACTTTACCACCATTTGAAGAGCCTCAAATCACCAAAAAGAAAAACTATGTAACAATTGATATGTTCTGAGTTACATAGTTTAACACTCAGAGATGCTAGCATTGCCACAATAAGCAGCCACATTTTGCTGCCAAGTAGAGGTGTTTTCTAAAGTACAGTGACTACCAATATCACGTAGCATTAAGCAGGAAACGAGAGTCACGAATGGAATGATTTAATGGTTGAAATAATAATTGTGATGACATGTGTCAACATTGATTTAGTTGCTAATCCCTACTGGCAGATGGCAAACACTAGGATATGCATGTATGAGATTTTCCATTGGTACCCAGGTGCAAATGGGCGTGTCTAGTATGATCAGAACTAGACTTGCATGAACATAATTGTGTTGTCGGTACATCACAGGATCTTATCAAAGCTATACTTTGTTGGTATGTAACAGCAGAACGAAGTCAGCTCTGAAATCAACTCTTCCTTTGCGCTGAATGTACAATTAAATACAAGTGTTAAATCCATCATCAAGGTAAATGGTTTTCAATAAGTGCATAAGAATAAAATGGCAGAGATTTAACTACCTTGTGCTGAAAAGAATAAGGCAATTAATGATTAGTTGTTTACCATGAAGTATACATAATACGTTAGGATCCAAGAGATGTATATCACATGACACGCTTGTTTTTTTCCCCTTTGGCCTTCCATTTTCATTTCTTTGTTTTGGTGTATACTAAATTAACAGTTGTCTACTGGGATTTAAAGAAAAAAATGCAGTATTAGAATATATCTTGACATGTAATACTATTTCTGAATCCCCAAAAAACTAGAAGAATAAATAAAATATTTATCCCAAATGCAGAAGAAAGAACAAGAGATTTTTATCATACTGATCAAGAGAAGATAGGTGGGATAAAACTATAAAGTTTACCAAGAGCTTTTGAAGTGTAGTTTTGCAACAATTGCTCCTGTTCTATCTTCAATTGTCACAGAAAAAACATTTCCCACGTTGATTTTTTCTCTTTCAATGTTTGTTATAACACCATAAAGGCTTGTCCCAGTCATTTTGTCATGAAGATCGATTATGTACAACTGCAAGACTTTAAACATGTCAGCGCAGAAAAATTTTACCATGTATAGAATAAATAGTATGCAAAAGCTAAGAGTGTAAAATGAAATAGATTTCTAGTTCTAGCTATATGGTAATTTTTGACATGCATAATACATAATTATGCTATATTAGGATCTATAGTTATTCTCATATAATGCACTACTAACATGCCAATGCATGTACAGTAGTTAGTACAAATTTGGCATCAATGAAGGTATATAATGGATTAATATACCATATGCTCCCAAGAACGACCTCATTCCTATTTCATGACTTGCAAATATTTGACCTCAAGATAAAGAAACTGCATTGAGGTATGTATGCATGACTATGTAAATTGAGGTCTTTGACTTGGACAAAGAAATTGCATCCTACCATGTAGATAACAGAAATTATACCATAATAATTGACGCATCATATTGCAAGGAAAATTTATTAATGGTAACAATAGGAAGTGATTGTAGTGGTAGTAGTCATAGCCAAGGTTTTCATTGTTGTAAGTTCAAATTAGAACTACTGCAAAAAAAGGTTTTAACATAGGAAAGTTGGTGAAAGAATGGATGATAAGAACCAGAGTGCAACAATCAGCAAGATAACAAGTGCAATGGCATTTATTATACATTTCAGATAGATGTTAAATAAAATCATTAAGGGAGAAAATTTTGAAAGATTTGAAAGAACAGTTAGTAGTCTTCTTACTCGAAAAGGATAATTACTGAAGTCAATAGATCCTTCCGAGTTTTGGGGCAGGGAAACTTGGGAAAATTTGGGACCCTGACTCTGGATCGTCGCATTCAAATTTCTTGATCCTTGGTACTTTGTTTGGGTGGGAGTAGGAAGTACCTAGGAAATGCATAAATCATAAATATTAAAGAAGCAAGGACGCTAATTGATTCCTTGACAAGCAAGTATCCAACCTGTTCTTCATGTTGCATGAATGGCACCAAGAATAACTGTGTAGAACTACCATATTCAAGACATAATTCTTCAGACGGCTCAGAGTTGCTTTCGGTGATATTCTCAATATAAGGTCTATCCAGTGCAAGCATACTTCCAACACTGAAATTTGGGAGGAAAAAGAGTCAATATCCACGCAGTCGAATCAAACATATATTCCAATTCAAGTTGACATTCAGACCTAAAGAGATTGGAAAGAATAATTTGCTCGCCCCACAACAGAAACTTTAACCTGGCACCATCACCATCTACAAGGGTAATCTGCTTCCTCTGTAAACGCTCAGAAGTACCTTGAACTTCCAAAGGCCCAATTGATTCAATCCTAAAGAAAGAAGAGGAAATAGGCTTAAGAAGCAGTGCTCATAATGTATTCAACTACTGAGCATTACAAAAGCTACCATAGAGTGGTGTCTCCTTGTACTAAAGTTTAGAACATGTCCATTTATATTGCGATATGGAATGACAAAAGTCAAACATAAAGCTTTACCATTTCATGTACCACTTGGACAATGAACAGGGCATGCCTGCACATAAACCAATAATCTAATGCAGGATCACAAGGTAATAAATCCAGAAGTCCAAAAGTCCTTCACCTCTTTGATGAAGTATCATTACATAATTACACTATGCTTGTAAGTATACTAGTCACTCTATGTAATGCAATATACTAGTGCACATTCACAAAATACAAATAACTGAATATGAATCACGATGCCTTTATGGTGCACTGCATATGTGCTCATGAAGTACATTATTCACCAAACAAAGCCTTCAGTTTGAATGATTCCACTAGCAATACGGTTGCATGTGGGTCATTGGATTTGTCTGTTTGAAAATAGTAAACAAGAAAATTTGTTCGAGATGTGGAGTTTTAGAGATAGTTATTAAGGATCCAGCTTCATAATTGAAAATAGGGCGGGGCCAAGCACTATAATAACCTGCCTAGCATAAAATGAATATGAAGCACTGCCATTTTTAACCGCATCAACGGATATGGATGAGAAAGAATCAGAGCAGAACTGCGCACCCAGCAGCATAGCATCCTCATCTTGATCCTGCATGACAAGAGATTACCTAATACCATATTAAGAATAAAAGAAAATAATAATGTAAGATATATGCTACTGTCTCTAATGATGATTGCTACGCAAGATCAGTTTGATACTTTGATTAACTATGCAGCGGCAAAATTGCAAAGCCAAAATTAACAGAATATGGGGGCGAAATTAGAGAATATCAGCAGAGAAGTATGAAATAAAAAGAAATTGACTTTCATGTTTAAAAATTATGGAAAATGCCAAAGCTTCTCTTTTGAGTTTAAAAATTTCCATCTCCATGTTAAAAATTGTGAGCATCTCATCTGCTCTATCGAAGTTTTCTTTTCCTTTCTGTTTTTATTATTTTTTTAGAGAAGCATATGAAATATTCTTCTTCTATCATGATTACAGATAACTTCTTGCATAAATTAGAAATTATCAATATCTAAATAATACAGGAATTTGTCACTTACTCACTATAAAGTACAAACTGCAAGGTTGCATCGATTACATGATTGACAATTTCTTTCACAAAAATTAATGGATAAGTAAATAAACATGATGACCAACAGCATAACTAAGAGGATGAAACGGAAGGTTGTATAAATGTGACATAAATATTCAATGTGGATGGCGAGGGTTAAATCACCCAAAAGATAACATATATAACAAGATTGGAATAACTGAAATGAGTTTACAAATGATATGTACAGCAGTTCTCCTTGGTACCTCATCTAACAATATAACCAGATACTCTGTCGGCAAAAGGCGAGGATGACCAGAACCTCCAATAGGAGTACGGAGACTACATCCTGTGAGGAATATCTCACGCCCTTTCTTCAGAATCCCATGATCTAGATCAACCAAATGATAGTACCTGTATGACATTATCATCTCATAAGTAGGTTAAAATGATATGATAGTTAAAAATAGATATAACTATTAAAATAGAGTGACACAATTTCAAATTTTGTTTTTTTATTCGGTGTGGATGTACTCAGATGATGTACAAAAAGATCTAGAGGTAGACCTAAAAGAACTTGGTTGGGAGTAATTAAGAAGGATATGATAATCCGAAGGAGATGGTCCATAATAGAACAGAATGGAAAAAAAGAATTCATGTAGTGTGGATGCACTCAGACGATGAACCAGCAGGAGCGGCTGGAGTGTCGCAAAACTAGTGACTGGTGATTGAGGTATTTGGAGGTCATGTGTATATAACTCAGAGAAGAATCATAACGGTCATACAAAATGGCAAGTTAGTTTGTGCAATGGCATGAATGTCAATAGGAAATAAAGACTGAATTTTACTAATGAAGAAACATTCAGATAAAGACAAAAAACATCAATCTCATTATATACACTAAATATAGGATAAACTACATTTCGAAGGTCAGTGTTCACAGTGTTTGTAGATGGGATCGATATGTGGATTATAACTTTATAACACAAGGGCAAATACCATAAGCATAAAGGTAACTTTCAGACCTGATCCCAAATAATATGGCTTGGCCTTTAGATAAGGTGTAGAGATGTTATGGCCCTCTCCTATTTCTAAGTAATGTAGGAAATTGCCATAATTTAGTTTGTGTGACAAAGTCACCTGAACATGAACAGAGTTCATTTGGGCACTTCAGCAGAATTACTCTTTTCCAAGAGAGAGATACTACTCTTGTAGGTAGAAAAACTGGCAAAGGAACACCCTTGTGATGGTAAGTTTCTTACATGTCGATATAATAAAAATAAAGAAGAGGATTAATCTAGATTTCATAGATATCATCTAAGATTTTTACAGAAGGAAAAGACTACGATGGCAAAGAAATCATCATTGTTTGTTCTGTAATTGGATGTTCATTTATCTGCAATCATATGAATTGATTACCCATTATATACAAATGTCTACATGTCTACATGCACATCTCAACATGTTCCACACCAAGTGTCCAAAAGCATGACATATACTTCAGAAGTACCACATCACATATCCAGGCACCCAGGACTCTTGCACTGTTGCACAACCGTGTTACCGTGGCACACAAAAGATTGATCAGCTTCCCTATAATATCAGTGAAAATTGTAAAGAATTTTGGCCCCTGTAAATAAGTGGGGTGGGTTTGATTCAAAATTTTGACTACTATCTCAACTTACAATTGATTCAGAACATCTCGAAAAAACTGCCACCATGAACCATACTTCTGATTTATTCTCAACTTCTGTTGATTTCTTTTACTTCATAAATAGTTTATCTGCAGACACTTCAATATACAAACTCTGTGGACTACTTCAACGTACAAAGAAAAGTTCTGCTAGTAACACTGTAATTGAATACTGGATTATAACTTTTTTAGAGTAATAAAAGAAGATGCAAGAATTTTCCAGCGTCAAAGGAGAAACACTTTGAAACTACTTGATGCCACTGTCAGATGGAAACAGCATGCATGGGGATACTTATCACTTCATTTATATATGCAACACATACTGTTGTGTTGCTCAATTATCATACCTGCGATGGAGATACAGATCAATGGTATATGAACTCCACAGATCGCCCAAATTTAGCAAATATATGTTTGTGCCTGGACGAAAAAAGTTAAGATGAGAAGTAATTCAGAAAGTTTATAGTAGCTTACAGATGCAGGAACATTCAAGGAACACCTAATCTGTGTCATTCATTCTTTATCCTGAACCCTGGAACTGATGGAAGGACCCTTAACCTATCCCTGCATGCTCCACGGTCCTTGTATTTCTCTATCAACTAAAGTAATAAACCAAACAAAGTGAGCCTGTGTACCACTTCCTTCTTCTTCTTTTTTTTTTTTTGAGGTTGGGTGGTCTCGCTTAGTGAATATGCTGATGACGCAGGTAAGCTTTAACAGTGTGGCTACAGTAAATGTGGACAACTTATGGGCTTTATATCCAGCTTTTACACAGATTCTTTGGGGAAGAAAAATGCTGGCAGTGGCATTTAGGAGAGTTTATTTAGGCAATGAAACTACATATCAGAACTTCAATACAAAATAACTCGTTTCTCTAGTCCCAACAGAATAAATTGACCAAAAACAATTATTGGCGGTAATATAATACTAATGGTAAATCTAAAGTCAGATAAACAAGTGAATCTTCATAGAAACTAGAATGACAAAAGAATGAAATTAATTTTGGAGCACCTGGAAGAAGGAAGGCATCCACAACAAAAGCTTCGAGAATGCTACTCTGAGAAAGGAAATTCTTCTCATATATGGAATCAATGGTAACAGTGTTTGGAAGCCTTGTTCTCTTGTTCTTCTTCTTCAATGAAACCGTGCATTCCAACTTTTTCTTTGAGGTGGCATATCTGTGCTTCTCGCTCCAAGCCTACTGCGATAAGGAAACTGATCAGAGTCATCAGACAATCTAAAAGTTTCTGCTCTCCTCTTAGCTATATTGCCACAAGTTTGGAACACATGTAAGATATAAAGTATAATATATAATCTGATCAGAAAACCCTACTTGAACGAAGTACATCAATACGATATTCAATGAACTATTTAAAAAGTTGTGAACGTTACCCTGTTCTTGTCAACCGATTGACGGTTCTCTCAATCTTGAGTGACTCATAATCTATACACAGATTCAAGTTTTAAAAATTATTCATGGAAGTCCCACAATTTACTAATACTATTAGGATTTCATGTAGCATAATTCTTTTAGAAAAATGATTAATGCTGGTGCTTGATGCCTCCTTATCATCTTTCTCATGCCTATCATATTACCACTCAAAGATGGCAAGTTATATTCTTTAAGTGTTCTTATATGGAACTTTAAACACTTTGAACATTTGGTTTCATACCTTTGATGGACTACCTATACAGGACTTGTAACACAATATTTGTCCTAAACTTGCAACCCCAAGCTCACAAAACCCTCCAAATTTTCTAGAGAACTTCCAAAATTATGTGTATATCCTTTAGATAATTCACAAGACAGGTGATTTACAAGCTATCAGTCTTTGATAGAATTGAGCAGTTACCTGTGAATCCGACAAATCTTTCTCGATGTACCTTGGAATGCTGTTAGCACCTTTTTTTTAATGATGAAAATTGTCAGGCCTTATTAATTGCATCTATATTAATTCACTTAATAGTCATTAATTATTACGTCCTACAGATTCCTAGCATTTGAATATATTCTCTAAATCTCCTGTAATTTCCTAAATTATACCAAAAATAAATTTTAAAAGGAAATTGTAGGACTCAGCAGGTAATCATAAATATAAATTGAATCTCCAATCATAAATATAAATTGAATCATAATGTTAAAAATGTTAATTTCTTACTGATGGTACCATCCACTATTTTCCTTTCCTGAATTTCCAATCAAAAGGGTCCTAATGATTACAAATTTGCAAGTCAGGTATAAATTTCCATTTTCTTATAGTAAACCCAATGTTTTAAAATATTTTCAAATTATTTTCAACCTTTAGACTGTTAGAACCTTCTTCTTTCTGAATTTAACATTTACATGCGAATCAACCATTCACTCCAGATTCAGATGCTAACACTGACGATGACGATAGTGGACACATAGAAAACATTGACATGGAGGATGGGTGATGCTTACTTATATTTCATTTTCCGCGACATCTGGTTTCTTTCGTTCGGAAGGGTATTGTTTTGGCTATCCGGTTTGGGATAATTTGATTAATACTGCAATTCTTATCCGTTGCCTCCTACAGTAACAAGGAGGACGTTTGATGTTTCCACTGAATTGATGTTAATGAAACGAGGGAGATTTATACTCATCATTATTCTTAAAAAATACATTTCTTCGTGAAAAATTAGAAACTTTTGTCCAAAAGAGTTGTCCTTCAAACATTATAGTTCCAATTGATTGTTATGTCTTTCTATTAAGAAGATCGTCGTTTTCAACAAAAATAGAAAAGGCGAAATTGGGGGATTAGGGTTTACTACCTGAAATAGATCCGATAGAAGGATCGCTGGTGTGACCCCGCTAGAGTAAGCGATGCAGGTCTTGAGGATCCGAGACAAGACCCAGCTCCATGAAGGGTCCGATCCATCGCCGCGGCCGCCGCCGCCGTCATTGTCTCCGCCCTCCTCCGACAATGATGAAGCAAGCATTGATCTTGCGTGCTCCACAAATCCTATAAAAGCGTCGTTCTCTTCGATCTCGCTGCCGGGGACCTCTGACAGCGGATCCATTGAGTCGGAGTGAAGACTTTTTAGGGTTTAGGTTTTGGAGGAGATAGAAATAGGGGTGGAATTTTGGCGGGAGGAATTTCTTTGGAGTTTATGCAAAAGCACCCATTAATTCTTTATTTATATATGGTGACCCATATAGCATTAGCTTATTGCCGTCTGCTGGAAAAAGAAAAATCAACAACACTGCCAACAACAGTATTCTATTCACATTCTACGGTCCCTACTTAAATATTTTTCGAATTATAAAATTCAAAATCTATATCGCTGAATGTGATCTACTACGTACGTATCGCTGAATGTGATCTACTACGCATAAATTATGTCAGAATGAAATTATAGTAATTTCTTGAACTTGCTCTCGAGCATAGGAGTTCTCTGACCATTCTACTGGTCCTGTACTGTATGTTTCGAATGGTCTGTTTAGCAAAATCAACTTCTTTTTGACCTGTTGGCGAAAAAGATGTCTATTCTGCTAAATATTTAGCAAAACCGTCTGTTTTGCTAAATATTTAGCAAGATAGGTCTATTTTGCAAAATTTTCAAAAATTACACATTAATATGGCTCGATTTGTGTCCTACAATATAATTACTAAAGTGGGTGCTGATGAACCTTCAATTTTTAAAGATTTTTGTTGGAATACGTACTGTCTACGTTCATTAACTTGAACAAAGCTCGGATCTTTGAGCTTCTCCCGTTCTCAAAATCCGGATTCTCGCGAGACAAGGTCAGTTCAATCCACTTCAATCATCTTTTTCGAGCTTTGCTACGACACCCAAAATATGGGATCAATAGAGGGGACAAGTGAGGTGTTCTTCTCCTATTAGATAATGAGTTAGCTATCATTAATGATGACCAACTCATTATCCAATAGGAGGGGGACACCTTACTTGTCCCCTCTATTGGTCCCATATTTTGGGTCCTTGAGGAATTTTTCATCTTTTTCATCTGAAATTTTCTCGATTTTGTCGATCCCCAACCAAAGTTTGCTCTTTTTTTCACTCAAATTGAAGAAACCCACAAATTTATTAAATCTCCTTAAATCACCTGATGAAACTTGGGAGTTTTACCTTGCAAATAACTAGATTTTTTTTTGTAAGGGGTTTTTAAATTTCCATGTTAGTTTTCTTAATCTTGTCGACATTGTGGAATATCATGTAGTCTTGCAAATAACAAGGTTTTTTTTTATGAAAACAATGCATTCCAGTTTCCCTTCAGTAAAATTTTTGAGACAATAACGGGAATTTAAATTTCTCTATGGAACTAATAATTAAATACCTACCTTTGTTTATATTATTGTGATCGTATCTGTAAGGAAAATATTTGAGCTTATCTTTATTTTTCTAGTTGCCATATTTACTAAAAATTTTTCCTTTAGATATACCGTATTTGAGAGAGAATTTCTGTGTTGATGTGAAAATGTCGGCTTCTACTTCTAATGATCGTGCTCCTGAGGAGGATACTAGGGCGAATGTAAGGGATTTCGGATCCTCTCCACTACAAAAAAAACAGTGGAGGGACCACTACATAATCACGGCCATTGATTATCTAGTTAATGGTTGTGATTTTATCTTATAGTGCAAATTAGGAATGAGTGCAATACACGGGGGTATGGTAAGTGTTAGATTTAGATTGTATCATAACCGCCTACTAAATAATCAACGATTGATATTAAAAGCAGTGGTCTCTACACTACTTTTTTGTAGCGGAGAGGATCCAAATCCGAATGTAAGCTAGTCCCCAAAGGAAAGTGATGCAAATCCAACGCTAGAGTCATCCCGAAACTCAAAGGAACATGATGCCAATGTTGAGTCAAATGCATCTCATACTTCGAAGGATAGTGAAGCAAACACTTCCCCGAGAGCAAACCGAGCTTCCGTTCGCCGTAGTATCCTCAAAGGAACATGTTGAAAAGAATAATGATGCGACCAATGAGCTGGATACCTCGGAATCGGCTGATGGTTCGCATGTGGACCCGCAAATCGGCATGAAGTTCCATTCGCAAGAGCAGGCGTTCAAGTTTTACAACTCTTACGCTAAGAGAAAGGGCTTTAGTGTTCGAAAGGGTCATCGATCTTTCTCGAAGAAAAGATGGGAGTGTTAGGGATAGACATTTTCTATGCAGCAATGAGGGTTATCGTAGCTAGAGAGCATCGCACTCATATAACTAAGAAACCCCGGCCACTTGAGAGAACTAACTGTATGGCTCGTATTGAGTTTAAAGTGGATCGAGATAATACGTGGATCGTCAACAAGTTCATGGATGATCATAATCATCCTCTGGCTTGCCCGAATAAGATACACGTACATGTTAAGGTCTCACAGAAATAAAATGCCTATGCAACGACCATTCATTACCGAGATGGATTATATCGGGGTGAAACCGGCACAAGTGCATGATTCTCCGGAAGAGGCTGCTAAAGTCATAGAAAATTCTGGGTTTCTTTTGAAAAACCAAAGTTACTATTTGCTGCACTCTAATAGGACTAGGGATCTTGAGAAGGGAGATGCACAGTTCCTTTTGGACTTTCTGAAAGATAAGCAGGTGGAGGATCCATCCTTCTTTTATGCAGTGCAAGTCGATGAGAAGGATAGGCTGACGAATTTCTTCTGGACTGATGCAAGGTCGATATTTGAGTACTCATGTTTTGGCGATGCCGTTTTATTTGATACAACCTATCGAGCAAGTAGGTATGATATACCGTTTGCACCTCTCATTGGAGTAAACCATCATAGGCAAATTGTCGTGTTTGGTGCTGCTTTACTATTAGATGAATCGACGGAATCCTTTGTTTGGTTGTTTAAAACTCTTATGACTGCTATGTCTGGAAAGCAACCGAGAACATTCTTCACAGATAATTGTGATTCACTATCGAAAGCAATCAGTTTGGCATTACCAGAGACAAATCATCAACTTTGCCTTTGGCATATAATTCAAAATGCACCCAAAATAATCCCTCATGTATATGGTCACGAGTCCTCTTTTCAAAAGGAGTTCGAGAACTGGATACATGAAAGTCGCTCTGAAGAGGATTTGCAGAAGGGATGGGAAACTTTATTAACTAAATATAATCTTCGAGGTAACTCGTGGTTCGAAGACTTGTATTCGACTAGAGAGAAATGGTCTTCTGTTCATCGTAAAAGCTCATTTTGTGCTACAATGACTACAAGGCAATGGTGTGAGAGTATGGGAAGCCAGTTCAAGATGTTATTCTACAGAAAATTGCCTCCTTCGAAATTCATGGTGCAATATATCACCAGGCCCTCCTTCAAATTCGCGAAAAAGAACTCTCTGAAGATCGCAAATCTAGGCTGTGTATAAACCGACTCTATTGGCTGGCGTGCCTATGTTAACGGGAGCTTCAGAATCATACTCCAGGCCGAAAGCCCAAAACCACGTGGTGTCAAGGTGTGTGCGCGCTCTTTCTATTTTAAGCCAAGTCAAGATCACCCACAAATCAAACCGTTACGACAACAAAATTCTGTTAACCCGCAGAGGCTACAATTCCCTCCGACAACTACTTTACCGGCCAAATTTCCTACATACATTTCACCCCAAAAAGCCCCCTCCCTCCTCTTACCTTCCCCTCTCACAAATCTCACCAATCCTGGCCCCCAACTCATCCTTCCTCCTCCTCCTCCCTCCTCCTCCTTCCCTCTCCTCCTCCTCCCTCCTCCCCGCCGCCGCCGAATGCTTCCCCGCTCCCCACCCCTACACCGCCCTCCTCCGAGATTATCTCCCCCTCCGACCGTCAATCCGACGACGGTCGGGCCGCATCGCCAGGATCGGCGCAAAGGCGTCGCCCGTGACCGCTTCGATCTCCGCTCTTCCTCCCGACCCACTCTCCGATGTCTCTCATGTCCCCCAAATCCGCCCCATCTTACCGCTCGCTCTCCGCTCTCCTCTCCGTCCCCTAAATCTTCAACGGCTCAGCCGCCACAGCTGCCCCCTAGCCCGCCTCGATTCTGTCAAATCAGCCGCCGCAAAGGCTGCAGGCTCCGTCGGCCACACGCGCTGGCCTCCGCAGCCCAATCGGCATCTGCCGCCGCCCCAAATCGGCCGACGCCTGTCAAATCCGCCAGCCGCCATCGTAACCGCCGCCGCCCCTAAGTCTGTCGACGCCGTCAAATCCGCCGCCGGCTCCGTCGCTGAAACAGTAGCCGCCGCCACCCCCAAGGCTTCTGGCCCCGTCCGATACCGCCAAAGCTGCCACGCCGGCTGCCGTCAGCGACGCAGCCAGTTCTGTCGCCCAGACAGTTACGGACGCCATCAAATCTGTCACCGTCCTCGACGGATCCCTCAAGGAAATATGCGACAAGCTCCCCGTCCCCGCGACATGCATGTCTGTCCTCCCGACCGCCGCCAAGAAGGACATATCCAAACTTGACCTCAAAGCCGCCCTCGAGCTCAACATCGAGGCAATGATTGACGGGGCTCGCTCCGCCCGCGACAAGGCCAGAGGAATGGCCGTCAACGACGAGCACTACGACCCGATCAACATGTGCAACCGAACGATGGGGTCCGCGATGGGCGACGTGAAGGACGCGCTGACGGGGATGGCAGAGGACGACTATGGGACGGTGAACACGATGCTCGACTCGTACGTGCACAGCATCGGGGTCTGCCTCGAGGGCGGGCCCAGCCGCAAGCCGCCGCAGGCGTTGGTCGGAGATATGCAGAAGTTGCACGACCTTTACGAGAACGGGAAGAAGCTGTCGGCGTTGGTGTCGCCCAAGAGCGTGGTTATCCTCCCCGAGTACTGAGAACATGAGATTGATGTTACTTACCATGTCATGAGGCAAAATTGATGCGTTTTCGCTTCGTTTAATTATTTGTTGCGATTGATGATAGGCTTGAGGTGTAATTAATGTCTTATATTATGAAATTTATATTTGAATGAGAAATAACTTATAAATACTTTGAATTTATATCACTTGATTGTACGTTTACACTCCGTGCAAAATTTTCTGTTTGGGATTTTGCTTGCGACCCGGATCCTCCCTAATTAGCAATGGTATCATATTCGCAGCCTTGCAAACTTGCCTTCCGAATCCGCACCTTTGATAATTTGCCTTTTCTTCTCTCGCATTGAATTTTCAGTATCTCCTAGTTAATACCATTAAAATTGGGGTAAGTTAAAAATATGCAAATTTGAAGGGTAATGTGTAAACAAGATAGTTTGGGGGTTACTATATAGGCAAAAAAATAAATAAATCCCATATATTCTAGGGATTTTTATATAATAAAAAAATAAATAAATCCCTAACTAGTCATCAATTTCGTAGAATAACTTAATAATTGAGCATACACTTCTATATTATAGTGTAGAAGTAGTGGAGGAGTAATAGTGTAGTTGTCGTTACTAAATTGCAACCAGTGCACATATATTCTAGGGGGGAAATTGACAAAAATGATCAACACCCTCTTAAAATCTTAAAAATACATGTGAACTCTCAATTTTCTCATAAAGTATGAATCTTCATATTTCTCCCCTTATTCTATGCTTATGGGTTCAGTGTGACCGTTTTGTAATTTCATAGTAAAAAAATTGACAAATCAATGATAAGAATATACTTTCTGTATTTTTTGTGGGTTTCCATTCGCTTGTCTCATTTCCCTAAAAAACAGAAAGAATTTCACCTTTCATAAAAAAAACATTAAATCCTTTATTCGTTTTTTTTAACTAAAAAATTATTTATTCAATTGCGGAGAATAAGAATGCAAAAACTAAACCCTGTATCATCAATGTATTAAGAAATTGACCCCACACACACACACATATAGAGGCAAATTGGATTATATATAAGATGCTTTCTGCAGAGAGTGTTTGGCAAATGGGTGGATTATAACCCATCCATGCCGTCGAAACGATCAAATATGACATGACTCTAAATTTACATATCATAGCACTATTAATACAGGTTTTCTTGATAACTTAAATCGAATATATTTTATGATCTATTACAACTAGTTTTATGTAAATTTTTTATTTATTAATACAGTTCGGACCGATTCACCAAAACAAAGCAAAACATGAGGAGGCCCGGATCCTCCGACCAACCACCTCAACAAACTCCCGGGCTTCGCTTGCTGCCTTTCGAATCCTCTACAAAGGCCTCCCTCCACCTCCTCCTCCAAAAACTTCATCAATCATGCCGCGGTGGCCGCGCTCCCTCGACCCAGTTACCAGCACGTTCCATCGTGCTTGAAACTGTCCTCCCACGACTTTTAACCACCTTTTTCGTGGTTTAACTGCTTGTACACGTCAGCACACGTTCTATTTCTGATACGCCGCCACGTAGACTTCACATAATCATCACATAACTACCTCGTAACCGCTGTAGCATCCCCTATAGTAGCCGCGGCACCATGGATTGCCGCGCCCAAGCCGCGGCACTATGAACTGCCGCGTCTTAGCCGCGGCACTATGAGCTGCCGCGCTGTAGCCGCGGCACCATGAGCTGCCGCGCCCACACGCTGTAGTTTGCATTGTTCTGTGAATTCACATTGTTTTATGTTGATTCACAGATCCTTTTGCTTCCTTTGGGCTTGTATGATCTCCCATGACTTAGATACTGATGTTTATCACCTTCTCTTTGTCTTGAGTGATATTTGGATGTCTGTAAGCATTTTTGACGTCTACACTAATGGTGATATGATAGTGAAGATGCATATCATGCATGATGTTCCTAAAGAGGTTGTGAGCAATATTACACATATTGATATTGTCCCGATGGAGGAAAATGATAAAATAGAGAGCGAGACAATTCATGATATGTATAAATTGCTTAGGGAAGGGCCCAAAACAAAGGAGATGGAGCGCAAGAATTTTTTTTCTGAAATAAAGAGTGTCAATGATGTTGATAACATTGATATAAAACTGAAGGCGCTAGAAAATAAAAAGCAACTAGGAGCTAATTTGGGGGAGTTTTTCAAATCATTTTTAGATCCACATGCCATAAGTCACATTAAAATAATGTGGGAAAGATTCATTCAAAAATTTAATTCTGAAGAAGCCCTAGATGAGAAGTAAAAGAACATATAGAGAAAATCAATGCTAAGTATAAAGCAGACGCTGATCGATGCAGGAGAAGAAAAGTGTTTATCAAGGAAGTTGCTATTCAAACAAATATAAGCTCGGGGTCGATCTTCTTTCAATAAGGGAAGACTGATGTAGGACGCATAACGAGTAAATTCATAAAAAAGTGGGACCTTCACAAGTCAAAACAGATTCGGATGAATTATCGACCCCCCCACCGTCGTCCAGCTCCTGTTCAAGGCACTGAGCATGCACCTCGCCACCGCCAAAATGGAGGCCGAGAAGCTCATCGACCACCCGAGGACCAAGGACCCTCTCAAGTCCGAAGTCCTCCCGTTGTGCATCAAGATGTACACGAAGGCCGCCTCCAAGATCGAAAAGGCCAACAGCACGGAGGACATCGGCGAAGCGTGGCGCTACGTCGACGAGGCGAGCAGGGCTTGGAGGGCTTGTTGCCACGAGAAGGCCGACGATTGCCCGCAGTACGACAGGCACGAGAGCCTCGAGACGTATCGTTCCATCGTCGACCAGATCATCCACGCCTTCTGGCCGCAGGTGTCCTCCGGTTCTAAGGCGGCGGCGCCGTCGACGTCGAAGGGGTCGGGAGGGGACTTGAAGGCGGCCGCCTGGGACCACAACATCAAGATTCGCCGAGCATGAACGGCTTCGCGTAATTCTTTAACTAATCATTCAGATCATTCGGTCCTCGGTCTAGTCAAAGGTTTGAATATTGTAACCTGATCATAATTATTAATTTATGGCCTCCCGCCAAAATTCTTGGCCCTGCCATTGACAGTAGTGAAATCCTAGCTACATGGTGTTTTTTTGATATCTTGAATTCGGAATGTACAACAATGATCGGAGGAATTTGATACTCTTCAGTTACCGCATAATTAGAGAGGATCTGAGTCCAACCGGATTTATTTGCTTATCCAAATAGCCTTGTATTATCGCTAAATCAAGCTTATTATCCCACTAGTTCAATTGTTGCAGATAGAGCCCTGCAACCCTTTTCCAGATGTTTCTTCGCAACGAAAATCGATCTTCATTCAGGGATTATTTGCAACAATAGAACATCTCTCGGGGGTCTGTTTACAACAATACAGGAATAGTAAGTTCAAATTGGCAACAGTTGGATGAAAATAGGTTAATCGAATCATATACAGCGTTGTGCTCTTTACCATCTATTACCTCTTTTAAGTACAGTCAGTGACTCTATTTGCAAATTAATAATTATACAGTATACAAATTTTGACTAAAGCAAATCGAACAACTTGAATAA